GAGAGGGCAAACTATTTGAAGCAGCATAGAGAATTAGAATAGTAACATATCATTCCTATTTAACCTTAATATATGTGTATATAAGCAGTTGTTTTATTAATAGTAGAAGAGGTAAATATTGTAGCGTTAAATAGGGATGATATCTTACAGCTATTCCTAATTTTCTCCTTCTCCTCCTCCTCTCTATTTCTCTCTCTTTACACACACACACACACATATATATGTGTACTTTCCCCAAAACGAATAAGGGCACCTCGTTAGTAAAGTGCAAAAAATCTCGCCTTGGTAGCATTAATCAGTGGCAGGACATGTTTTGTATGTCGACTTGATCCATAGCTTTTAGTGTGTTTAGAACGGACTTAATCATCGTTCAAATCGTTTAGCCAGGCTTGCCATTACAAGGGGCTGTAAAAACGATAACTTAAAGTCAGTCTGTTATCATGACGAAGAGTAGGAGAAAGGTCAGGTTATCTTTTGGCACACTGGGCAAATGGTGTGCTGAGGTGTGCCGCCCTGGGCTCGTATTCGGGGCTTCGACTAACTTTGCCGTACCGAAAGGGGTGGGCAGGGCTCTGGCTTTCTGTCGCCAGGGCGGTGTGAACAGACTGCTTGGCTCAGTCGTTTGGACCGGTATCCCTGCGATTGCAGCCACAGTCTTCGCTTTATCTGTACCACTGTGCTGATTTCAAAATTGCCCATAGATAGCGAATTCCAGTGAGAGGTCAGATTGCTGCCCACTGCCGCCGCACGAAGTCCGACTCGCTCAAGCTAAGCAATGCTAATTTTTCTTTTGTGAAAAGGTATTCGAGAGTATCGGTAGATCTAATATAAGACCTGTGCTCTTTCAAGGTGATTAAGGACTACTCGTAGAATTTTCCCACAGTCATCTAATTTCACATAATCTTGATTGCCAAAAGGCTCCGATCCAGGGTGGACTGCAGACTCGACCTCGTCTGAACTGGTATCATCTGCACCTTTAAGGGGACTCGAACCAGGATAGTGGAGGGTACATTCTCGACACGTTAGCCACTACACCGCACTGTCACGAATGTCCTCGAGTCACAGGGCAGGTGTGATTTTCAAACAATCCCTAGCCTATCCTATATCACAGTACTGTCTTGGCATTGCCGATAAAGCAAAGTTGTATCTTCTAAGGTAATCGAAAGCGTTACATCTTTTCAGTTTCTAAGTAGGCTTTTAAAATTACAAGTTTATCTGATATAAGAGCTGTATTCACCATATTTCGTTTAAAGCAATTCACTAAGATTGCACATATCGACCAGCCTTCGAGGCCTGAGTATAACAATCTCCTTACACCTTACCAAAAATGTCCAACAATCGTTCTACAACCTTCCTATAGCTGTCTTACAACCGTTCAACAACCCTCTAACAACCCTCTAACAACCATCTAGTAACCGCCCAACAATCGCCTTTAAACCGTTTCACGGTCGTCCCACAGCCGCCTTTCAACATTTCCACAACAGTCCTACAACATTTTTACAACCGTCACACAGCAGTTCCACAACCATTCACCAAAGGTCAC